CTTTCTTTTACTTTCTTTTTCTTTTTCTTTTTATTTACTTTCCTCTTTTCCAGTTTTTCATTTTTTGATTTCACTTCATAAAACTCTCTTTTATTTCTTTTGCTTTTTCTCTGCTGGGGTGTACGTACACCGCTGGCTCGCCGCTTTCAGGTGTATCCGCAGCTCTTCAACATTCTTTTTTCTGTTTTTTCTTTTTCTCAAAAACAGCTTTTTCTTTATTAGTTATTTAGTTCTAAAGAAACATATTTATAGAGGCTCTTTACTTGCAGAAAGTTCAATATTTTATCTTTTTGCATTTAAATAAATTCTATCATTTATAATGCAAATAAAAGAAATCCAGTGCATGCATTCGCAGTGGCCTTTATCCACGAAAAGCCGAACTATATTATCTTTAATTTGCTTTTTGTGAACTTAATTTAATTTGTTGGATTCAACTTCATTAATTAGGAGCTTTGGCACATTTTAAGAATTCCTTTTGCGCCTGCTGCAGCGAGATTGGCGAAATAACTGAAAGTTTTTGGATTTAAAAGTGCTTTTTCCGTTTATTAATTCATTTAAATTGTTTTTCATTTACATGAAAAACTTCCTTTTTAATGCCTTTTCAAATCTCGCGCCAGAAAGTGCGCTGGAAGATAAGGTATCCGTACACCCCAAACATGCATGTATGCGTGCATGCGCCGTCGCGGGGTGTATGTACACCAGCGAGCGGAGCAAACTGATTCATTTTGAACGGAATTACATCTTTAAATGCATTTATTTTGCAAATAAACCATATATAAATGTTAGTTGTAATTGTAAGTGCACTAGTTGCATGCAAAACGAGAATTTTTTCATCTTTACCTGCACTCGCAAATGTGCATGCATCTTGCCATGCGTAACTCCTGGAAAATGTTTATTTCATTTTTAAAAGTAAATGCAAGATTTAGATACATGTTTACTTTAATTCTAAATATACACAAATGAATTAGTTAAATGTTTATTTTGTCCCCAATTACAAATAAAGAATTTAGATAAATGTTTAATGAATAATTGCAAATAAAGGACTTATATAAATACTAAATGAAGTTTTGATTGCAAATTAGGGACTGAAATAAATGTTTATTAGTTTTCTAATTTCAAATAAACAACTCATATAAATGCCATTCTTATTTTCAATTCCAAAAAAACATTCACGTGAATGTTTATTGGATTATACTTTAATTAAATGCACTTTACAAATATACATATACAGATATATATTTATATAAGAAACAAAAGCTGCATGCAAAGTTGCATGCAAAGTCGCATGCAAAGATGCAAATTAATTATTTTTTATATTTATACTTCTTGATTCAATTATTTATTTTATTTGCGAACTGCATACTTGTGGAAAACCCCAAATGTTTTATTTTATTTATGTCCCAAATTGTTTTTTAATTCTAAAACTGTTGAATTCTTCAAATCACTTTTTTCAAAAGAGCAAAAAAGCTCGCTCAGGTGTACGCGCACCTCCAGCTGTCTAGACACCCCGGCAGCCAAACAAAACAAAAAAACGGAAGATTAAGATAATCAAATTTAATCAAAGAGCAAAAACAAAATCAAAACAACCAAATACTCAAATTTATCCAAAGAGAAAAAACTAAATCGGCTTCAAACCCACTAAGAACAAATCCCTATCCAGAAGGGCCCCCCTGGGGGACCCCCTTATGGGGCCCCCTTATGGGACCCCTCTATGGGGCCCTTCTATGGGGCCCCCTCATGGGGCCCCCTTATGGGGCCCCCCTTTGGGGTTCCCCTTTGGGGCCCCCTTATGGGGCCCCCTGGGGAGGCCCCACAGCCTAGGGGATCCCTAGAGCCTGCGGAGCCCCCTGTACCCCGTGGGGACTCAATTATGGGCAATTGAAAGGCTGCAAGTGGCCCCCAGGGGCCCCCAGGGGGGCCCCCTGGGGCCTGTGGGGCCCCAGGAGAACTTGCCCCTGAGAATGCTCTGCAGCTTCTGGGGGTCCCCACTGTGGGGGCCCCCCTGGAAGCCTCGGCGCTGTTTGCAGGGGGGCCCCCAAGCGGCCCCCACAGTGGGTAAGAAGTCCTTATTACTGATATTAGGGGCCCCTTGGGGCTTGGGGCTTGGCTGTTGCCCGGAATTGTTGGGAATGTTAATTAAAAATTAATAAAAAGTGCAAAAGTAATTGAAAAAAGAAGTTTTAAACCAAATAAATAGTGCGGCGAGTGTTTTGCTTGGACTTTTGCGGCAGAGGAGTTTCAGTCTGGTGTGTACATACACCCGAATTGATTCTGCAGGGCTTTCCGCTAATGTGCATTAAAATGAGTTATTTGATCGCAAATAGACTAAAATATGATGAAATAATGATAATTACAATTTAGAAAGAGAAAAAGAATTAATTTAAAGGCCATAATCGCCGCCGAGCAGCACCTGCTGCTCAGGGGGCCCCCCGAGCATGGGGGCCCCTGCGGCAGCTTCTCTCGGTTTGCCTGGGTGACTATAATCGAATTTGCATATCTTTTTGCAAGCTTATTTATTTAAATTCTGGAAAAGGCAAAAAAAGGAAATATAAACGGCAGTTTTTGGGGTGTACATACACCGGAACAGCCGCGCCTGCAGATAGCCGCGGGCGATCTGCCGTCTCGGATCGGCTGCCCGCGCCAAGTCCATTTGTGGCCCTTTTGGAGTAGTTCCGGGGCCTCATTCCCAAACCCTAAACCCTAAAACCTAAACCCTAAACCCTCAACATGGACCCCACCCAGGCCCTGCCCTCCTCCCTCAGCCAGTTCCGGGATCGTCTTTTCTGGGATCGCTTTTTCAAAGACAGAAATTCAAAACCCTTCGAGTGGTATGGGACTTATTCGGATTTTAGGGGGGCCCTGGGGGCCCTGGGTCTCCTGCAGGGTTCAGCTGCAGAGGGGGCCCCCGGGGGCCCCTCAGGGGGGCCCCCAGGGGGGCCCCCCGGGGGGCCCCCAGGGGAGGGCCCCCAGAACCCCCTAGTGCTCCATGTGGGCTGCGGCAATTCCACGCTAGCTAAGGAGCTCTACGATGACGGGTACGCGTTTTTTCGAGGGTTTAGGGTTTAGGGTTTAGGGTTTACGGGTTCGGGTTTAGGGACGTTTTTCGCCGCCCTAGGGTTTAGGGTTTAGGGTTTAGGGTTTGGGTGTTGTCCGCAGCTACACGCAAATAGTAAATGTTGATTTTTCTCCAATTGTCATTGAGGAGATGAAAGAGAAATACAAAAATATAAAAACCCTAAAATGGCATTGTTTAGATATAAAGGGAAAGGGCCTCCAGGAGGCCTTTCTGGGGCAGGGGGCCCCTGGGGGCCCCCCTCAGGGGCCCCCCTCAGGGGCCCCCTCGGGGGCACCCCCCGAGGGGCCCCCGGGGGCCCCCCCCTTTGATTTGGTACTAGAAAAAGGGTTTTTAGATGCTTATCTTTCTATAGATCATGAAGAGCCAGCAGGAGAAGAGAGGGGCCCCCAAGAAGTACCCAGTCAGGGGGCCCCCGGGGGCAGCAGCAGCTCTGACGCCCCTGGGGGGCCCCCCAACGGGGGCCCCCAGGGGGGCCCCCAGGGGGGCCCCCAGGAGGGGGCCCAGGGGGCCCCCTATGACTATCGAAAGGCAGCAGCAGAATACTTTGAAGGAGTTTTGGATGTGCTGAAGGATGGGGGGTCGTTTGTCCTTATAACCCTTGCGCAAGATTATATTTTGAAGGAATTGGTAGGGTTTAGGGTTTAGGGCTTAGGGTTTAGGGTTTAGGGTTTACGATTTAGGGTTTAGGGTTTGGGGCTTGGAGTCGGGGTGGGGGCAGGAGGCTCTGTGCAGGGTTTAGGGTTTAGGGTTTAGGGTTTAGGGTTTGTTCGTCTCGCGGTCCAATGCATGCTAGCGTGTGTGAAACGTTCCCAGCACAGGGATTAGGGTTTAGGGTTTAGGGTTTAGGGTTTGGAGTTTGTGTTCAGGTTCGGTTTTTCTTAACTCGCCAAGTTCAGATAGACATGGTCTTTTGCCCCTCAGCTGACAGCATATCTGAGGGGGGCCCCTCAAGTCAATTGCAGCCATTTCTAATTAGGGTTAAAAAGGGGGGCCCCCAGGGGGCCCCCCAGGGGGCCCCCCAGGGGGCCCCCCAAGGGGCACCCCAGGGAGCCCCACAAGAAACAAACGGGCAGAAAGCGATCCGGGTGTACGTACACTCCAGAGGCATTGTTACCGCTGCAAAGGATAAGGCGGGAGGGCCTAGGTTTCGCATCTTAGGGTTTAGGGTTTGGGGTTTAGGGTTTAGGGTTTAGGGTTTAGGGTTTAGGGCCTGCGTGTGCGCCTGCAGACCGATGTGCACGCTGTCAAATGTACCTGGAAAAAAGGGCCCTGAGACGTTTCCTCTATGGGAGCTGACAAGTACTGCATTGAGGGTTTAGAGTTTAGGGTTTAGGGTTTAGGGTTTAGGGTTTAGGAGGCCGCAGAAAGAATTAGGGTTCAGGGTATTAGATGGCAGAATGATTGATTAGCTGAAGCACAAACTACTCAGTCTAGTTTGCTGGCTTCACTTTATGTTCCAGGATTTAGGGTTTAGGGTTTAGGGTTTAGGGTTTAGGGTTTAGCGTTTAGGGTTTGTTTAGTGTTGCATGTTGCATTTTGCGCGCATTTTCGAGCTGAGTGTTTGGACTTTTTGCGTTTTTTTCGTTCGAGGTTATTATGAGGGTTTAGGGTTTTGAGGGTTTTGAGGGTTTTAGTTGCACTAAATGGAAAAAGTGAATTCAGTTGTTTCCTCTTGCTGCAGAAAGAGTTGCTGCAGCACGCCGCTGCTGCAGCCTCCAAACCCTCGCCCGCAGCCAAAACCCTCGCAGGGTTTCTGTGCAAGTTGGGGGTTTGGGACTTTTCTCAGTTTGCACTGTGGTGGTTTATGACAACCTAAACCCTAATTCTTCAAAACCCTCAAAACTAAACAACAAAACCGCCGCCGTTTTGGTTCCCCCTGGCCAGGAACTCGCCTGGACCTTCGTCACAGAAGAGGGCAACCAGCAGGTGAGTTTAGGGTTTAGGGTTTAGGGTTTAGGGTTTGGGAGGGTTTAGGGTTTAGGGTTTGGGCTTTAGGGTTTTGGGTGTGGGGTTTTGGGCTGGGGATGAGGCAAGTTGGCCACACAGAAGAAAGCAGTGCGCCTAGGGTTTAGGGTTTAGGGTTTAGGGTTTAGGGTTTAGGGTTTGTTTCAGGTGGCGGAGCAGCTGGACGTGGGGCGTTTGTTGGTGGTGACATTTCCGTTGGGGTTTGAAGAGAGTGTTGGAGAAGACAAAAAGGAAATAAAAGAAAACGAAAGAGAAAACAAAAAAGAAAATAAAAAAGAAATTAAAAATGAAATTAAAAACCTTCTCAATGATTCTTTTGTTTCTTCAAATTGGACTCATTTAATTCAAGAAGCTCAAAAGACACTCGGGCCTCTTCTCAGGGAATTCGCCCTCGACTCCGAGGTCAGCATTTTATTTTATTTCTTTTTTAATTCTTTTTAATTCTTTTTAATTCTTTTTAATTCTTTATTATTTCTGTCGTTTCTTTATTTCTTTTGTTTCTTTTTTTTCTTTTTAATTCTTTTTCCTTTCTTTTTTGCTTCTTTTTTGTCTCCTTTTTATTTTTTTTGTTTCTTTTTTGAATCTTTTTTGTATCTTTTTTTGCATCCCTTTTGCGTCCTTTTTGTTTCTTTTTTTTCTTTGTTGTTTCTTTTTTGTTTTTTATTTTCTTTATTTCTTTTTGTCTCTTTTTTATTTCTTGTTTCTTTTCTGTTTCTTTTTGTCTCCTTTTTTTCCTTTCCCATTCAATTTGTTTTCTTTCTTTTTATTATTTTTTTTTTCTGCATCTTTTTGAATTTCTGATTTAATTTCATATTTTATTTTTTGCAACTTTTTTAATTCTTTCTTCCCAAATCATGAAGTTGCAGGCTCCAAACAAGCCCCAAGTTCATTTCTTTTTAATTCTTTTTTCTCTTTTAATTCCCTCTCTTTTCTTTTAATTCTTTTTCCTTTTTATTTCTTTCTTATTTCTTTTCATTTTCAGACTCCAATCCCCATCATGACTATGGGAGATCAAGTCCCTGTCAGGTCCATTTTACTTCGACAACTTTCTTCTTTTTCTGGACAAATTCTCGTCAGAGATGTTCAGGACACAACCCTTTTAGGGGACTCGACCCCCAGGGGGGGCCCCGCGGGCACAGAAGGAATGGCAAGAGTGGGATTGGGAAAAGAGATAAGCATAAAAACCACCAAAAGCTCATGAGACAACTCATCTTCTCTTGCAACCCTAATGTGCTCCAGTCGGAACTCAAAGTCCGCGTTTAGGGTTTAGGGTTTAGGGGTTAGGGTTTGGGCTTTGGGTTTTGGGGTTTGGGCGGAAGGGTTTAGGGTTTAGGGTTTAGGGTTTGGGGGGCACATGCAGCGCGCGCTGCTCTGCAAACTGGGGCCGGGGAACTAGGGTTTGGGGACGCTGCTTAGGGTTTAGGGTGTAGGGTTTAGGGTTTAGGGTTTAGGGTTTGTGTGCAGCTGAGGGTACCCAACGGAGCCTCGCCCACGGACAATTCCAAAGTCGAATTTTTGTTCCAAGACCCTGCAGCCGCTTATTACTGCGCCATTGTCATGGGTTAGGGTTTAGGGTTTAGGGTTTAGGGTTTAGGGTTTAGGGTGTTGCCTTAGAGTGACGCCTGGGCCTTTCCGGATGAAATTTTTTGCAAAAAGGCTAGCCATAAAGGATCCACTAAGTTGTTTATCTGCAATAATTACTTATTATTTTTTTATTTTAATTTATTTATTTTAATTTATTGTTATTTATTTATTATTTGTTTTTGTTCTTTGCTGCTGCAGCGATGGGCTACTCGAGCAAACTCGCCTCTTCTCACTGGGGGGCTTGCAACACTGTCAACGCCGTTCTTCTGGGACTAGGTAATAATAGCTAGCCAGCTAGCTAGCCAGCAGTCTAGCTAGCTAGCTAGCTAGCTAGCTAGCTAGCTAGCTAGTTAGTTAGCTGCCTAGGCGTATCTGCCTCCGTTCCTTGCAGTGAACGGCGTGTAGGTTTCTCCGCCACCTCACCAGCCAGCTACCTAGCTAGCCATCCAGCTAGCCACCCAGCTATCTATCTAGCTAGCTAGCTAGCTAGCTAGCTAGCTGGGCTTGTTGTTTGTTCAGGAGGCGGAGTGCTGGGCTCTTTGCTGCACCGGCTTTTTGGCTGGTTTGGCCTGGCGCTGACTGTGGTGGAAATTGACCCAGAAATAATCAAAGTGGCAAAAAATGTAATTTTATTTTTATTTACATTGAATAAATAAATAAATAAATAAATGAATAATAAATAAGAATATAAATAAATAAATGAATTAAATAGTTTGTTTGCCAATTAATTCACTAATGGAGAGAATTTTTTCGCCCAAGGCCTTCTTTGCGGCAGCAGAGAAAACACAAAAGAAAAAGAATTAAAATTAAAATTATAAGATTTGATTTCTTTTGTGTTTTATTTAAATTAAAATTATAAGATTTGACTTCTCTTTTTCTTTTCAATTTAAATTGCAAAAGTTAATTTCTTTTTGTTTCATTTAAAATAAGGTGATAAAAACTAATTTAGTTTTTGTTTCATTTAAATTAAAATTATAAAATTTGATTTCTTTTTTGTTTTTTGTTTTTTCAGTTTTTCGGATTTCAAGAAGAAGAATCTCCTTTGCTGCGCTGCGTCTGCAGCGAGGGCCTGAGCTACGTGCAGCAGCTGCCTGCTGCTGCTGCTGCTCCCGCTGCTGCTGCTGCTGCTGCTGCCCCCGCTGCTGCTGCTGCAGCAGCAGCAGCAGACATAATAATAATAGACATAAACAGCGGCAGCAAAAGCGACGCTCTGGTGTGCCCCCCCAAGGCTTTTGGAGAAAAAGAAACTTTAAAACTTTTTAAACAAAAATTAAATCCAAAAGGAGTTTTAATTACAAATTTACTTTGCAGGTCCAAACAAAACAAAAAAGAAGTGAGTCCCAGCTCCGCTGTACAGACACCTGCGCTCCTCTTCTCCCTCTTCTTTGCTTTTTTCTTTTTTATTTTTGTTTCTTTTTTTTTCTCTTTTTTTCTTCTTTATTCCTTTTCTTTGGGTTGTTTCTTTTGTTTCTTGTGTCGCTTGCTTTTAGCGGCTTCTTGCTGCTGCTGTTGCTGCTGCTGCTGCTTCATTTCTCATTTGCTGCTCTTTTAATTCTTTTTGCTTTCTGTCCAGTTTTTGAATTCTTTAAAAGAGGAATTTTCTTTCGTCGCGGTCTTCAACGTCCCAGAGGTGAGACCCGCCCCAGCACTAGCTAGCTAGTTAGCTAGCTAGCTAACTAGCTAGCTAGCAAGCTAGCTAGCTGCCGATATGGCTAGCTAGCTATCTAGCTAGCTGCTCTGCTGCCTTGTGGGCTAATCACAAACTGCTCAGGTTGAGCTGCTAGCTAGCTGGCTGCGAGCCGCACAGTTAGACATGCACCTAGTTAGCTAGCCGCCTAGCTAGCTAGCTGCCTAGCTAGCTAGCCGCCTAGCTAGCTAGCTAGCTAGGTAGCCATCTAGCTAGGCCCCTAGCTAGCCACCCAACTAGCTAGCTAGCCACCTAGCTAGCTCGCCATCCAGCTAGCCACCTCGCTAGCCGGATAGCTAGCCAGCCCGCTAGCCAGCTAGCTAGCTAGCTAGCTGGTGGGCTGTTGGAATGCTGCTGCAGGACGTTAACGAGGTCTGCGTTGCCATCAAGGAGGGGCCCCCAACAGAGGGGGGCCCCCAACCCTCAGGAGTTTCTTCAGCAGAGCTGCTGCGGCGCCTGCAGTACTTGGTTAGCCTGCTGCTGCTGCTGCTGTTGCTGCTGCTGTTGCTGCTGCCGCTGCTGTTGCTGCTGCTGTTGCTGCTGCTGCTGCCGCTGCTGTTTTTGTTGGTGCTGTGATGCCCCTGTTGCAGCTGCCTTTCTGGCGGTGCAGCTGCCTTTCTGGCGGAGCCCGCGCTTCCGATCTGCTGCGTTGCTGCCGTTGATCTGCTGCTGCTGCTGCTGCTGCTGCAGGAGCGTTCGTTCCTGCAGCACACGGGCAGCAAAGGGGGTTGGCTAGCTGGGCAAACTTCGAAGGAGTGGGTGGAGAGGGTCAAGCCCTGGCCTTGCCCCGAAGAGGAAGCCTTTTGAAGCGAGCAGCTAGCTAGTTAGCTAGCTAGCTAGCCAGATAATTGGCTAGCTAGCTAGCTGGCTAGCTAATTAGCTAGCTAGCCGGCTAATTCGCTGGCTAGCTAGCTAGCTAGCTAGCTAGCTAGCTAGCTGGCTGGCTTGCAGGGTTCTTGGTCTGTGCGCAGGCCCTGGAGCTAGCTGGCTAGCTAGCTAGCTAGCTAGCTAGCTAGCACGTTGACCAGGCATTTGGCAGGCTGGCTAGCTAGCTAGCGAGAGAGCTGGGCACTTGTGTATGCGGTAGCTAGCGATATAATTAGACAGCTCGCTAGCTAGCTAGCTAGCTAGCTAATGTTTTCGCTTGCTAAGTATGCAGATGCGTAGCTAGCTAGCCAGCTACCTAGCCAGCTAGCCAGCTACCTAGCCAGCTAGCTAGCTAACTGGCTAGCTAGCCCTGGCTAGCTAGCCCTGCCAGTGGCTGGCTAGCTAGCCTTTTTTAAGGCCCTTTGCGGTGTACGTACACTGAAGTGCCTCCCAGAGGCAGCATTTTTATTTGAATGAAAAATATTTTAAAACTAAAAAAAAATTTAATTTACTCCAAAGACCCGAAGATAATCAGCTACCGCAGCTCCTCGCTACTGCTGTTGCTGTTGCTGCTGCTGCTGTTGCTGCTGCTGCTGCTGCTGCCACACAAAGGTACTTTTAAAAGTAACTTATTGTGAAAGTAAATATATTTTCACGGAATTTCTTGACAATAGCTGCTGCATGCATCTCTTTTGCATGCAAAAATGACAATTACAAATGCAACAAATGCTGCAAGCGCCATTGCTGTCTCGTGCTGCTGCTGCTGCTGCTGCTGAGAGACAGCGCGCGTTTCTTGCTGCTGCTACTGCTAAGAGACGCCAAGTGTCTTCTGCTGCTTCTGCTGCTGCTGTGAAAGGGCGACGAGTGTCTCCTGCTGCTGCTGCTGCTGCTAAGGGACGGCAAGTGCCTCTTGCTGCTGCTGCTGCTGCCAAAACATGACAATTGTCTCCTGCTGCTGCTGCTGACAGCAAGTGCTCCCTCCTGCTGCTGTCTCCTGGTACTGCTGCTCCTAATGAATTGCAAGTGTCTCCCGCTGCTGCTGCTGCTGCTGCTATTGCCTCTGCTGTGAAATAACAGCAAGTGTCTCCTGCTGCTGTTGCTGCTGCTGCTAAAGAATAAAGTAGGCAAAAGCCTCAAAAAGATGCAAATGACTTAAAAAGCATTGTTTTCATTTTTGTCTCTGGTGCATTGCGCACTGGGGTGTCTGTACACCCGAGACGCTCTTACTTATTTGCCGTCATTAAATTCCGTGTGCAGTTTGAGGTGTACGTACACCACAAGAGGGTAAAAACATAATAAAAACATTTGGCAAAGAATTTGAAAGTATTTAAAATCTGGAAAAATTTGAATTTAAATGTCTCCTGTCAAATTTCCCGTCTCTCGGCGAGTTGCAAATTTGTTTTTCAGCTGTACATACACGTCAAAAGCGGAGTTTCAAAAGTCTATTTGCATTTTCGCTTTTCTGCTGCAGCTAATTTGCACTTGCAGTGCTTTCAGTGTCCGTTCTGTTAAATAAAAGAGAAAAATGTAATCAAATGAAACAATTCTAATTTGCATTATTAGAAAGGAAATAATGAAAGAAATTGATTCCAACATGCATTAAAGTTCAGACGGGAAGTTACACCCGAAGAAACGCCGCAGCAGCAGCAGCAGCTCAGGTGACCTTCTGCAGCGTAGCAGCAGCAGGAAGCAGCAGTAAAACATTGAAAATTGCTTGAAATACAAATACATATCTGAATTAGGTTAAATAATAACTGTAGGAGTTAAATTAATGTTTTTTGCATTTGAAATAGTGGCGAGCGGCCCGTCCGTCTGCAGTGTCTGTACACGGGAGCCCGTGCGTGCGTCGCTCGCGCGCGGAGGTGAGCGGCGCGTATTTGCGTGAAATTGGAGTATAAAGGCTGGAAATAATTGAAATTAAATTTAAAAATGAATTAGTTTTTGAAAGAACTCGAAAAGGCGCATTTTAAGGGCGGGATCTGTCGCGGAGTTGGCGCTGCGAGCGTTGGTGGTCAGGTGTCTATACAGGTGTTGCGCGTTTCGAAACTTCGCGCGTGAGCGCCTCGGGTCTATTTCCCCGTCTTCCTTGTCTTTGTTTGGAACTAAAAGTTGCATTTGTTTGTTTGTAGCTCTCACCAGGAAAAAAAACTCGAGTTCCCGCAGAGTCCGCAGCCGCAGCGTTCCGCCCCCCGCGCCCAAAATGCAGCCCTCGAAGCCCCAGGCCAGCTGCTCCAGCCAAACTTCCTGGCTCTCCCCCCCCGCCATGGGGCCCCAAGAAGTGGCCCAACAAACCTCCGTCGGAGCCGTCATGGAGGGGCCCCTGGAGTACCGCGTTGTCTTGACTCCGGCCTTGGCGCGGGAGTTGACGGCCAACGGCCACGCGGTGTACTTCCAGTCCGGCTTCGCCGCGCGTGCCGGCTTCACCGACCAGATGTACATACACGCCGGGGCCCAGCAGTGCGCGACGGCCGAGCAGGTTTACCAGAACTGCACCATCATGCTCCTCGTCCGTTCCCGCTTTTGCTGCTGCTCTTGCTGCTCCTTTTGCTGCCCCTGCTGCTCCTTTTGCTGCTCTTGCTGCTCTTTCTGCTGCTGTCTTTGACGCCGTCTTCGATGCTGTTTTTGGTGCTGTCTTTGATGCTGTCTTTGCTGTTTTTGCTGCTGTCTTTGCTGTTTTTGCTGCTCTCTTTGCTGCTACCTTTGCTGCTCTCTTTGTTGCGCTCTTTGCTACCTTTGCTGTCTTTGCTGCTGCCTTTGCTGCTGTCTTTGCTGCTACCTTTGCTGCCTTTGCTGCTGCTATTCCCTCTTTGTTGGTGTCTATACACCGGGGTCCGGGCGTGTGGGGCGCATGCATTTGGGGTGTACGTACAGCTGGGACGCATGCACTTGGGGCTTGCGCATGCATGCAGGTGAACCCGCCGAGCACGGAGGAGTACAAGTACATTCGTCGGGAGCAAGTGCTGTTTAGTTTCGTGCCGTTTGCTGCGACTGCTGCAGCGCAGCAGCAGCAGCGGGAGCTGATGCAGGCGCTGGCAGCAGCAGCAGCAACGCTGATCTGCTACAGCAGCATCGTCAGCAGCAGCAACCCCACCTTCGCCCCCGTCCACTACGCAGTCTGCAACACTGCTGCTTACCTGGGAGTGCAGCAAGCAGCAAACTTGCTGGCGAACTCGGAGGGTTTGGTGTTTGGGGGCCCCCCGGGGGCCCCCGCGACCTCCGTGTTGGTGCTGGGGGGGGGCCCCTGTGGGGCCCGCGCTGCAGCTCTTGCTGCAGCAGCAGGCGCGCAGGTGACGGTGATGGACACGGACTTGGCGCTGCTGAGCCGCATCAGCAGCAGCAGCAGCAGCAGCAGCAGCTGTGGTGTACGTACACTGCAGTACTCCCAGGCCAACCTCGAGGCCATCCTGCCGGCCACCAACGTGGTCTTTGGCTGCGCCATTCCAGCAGCAGGAAGGGCCCCCGTGCTGCTGTCGCAGCAGCAGCAGCAGCTGCTGCCTGCGGGCGCTGCTGCAGTGGACCTTGCTGCTGCAGCGGGCGGCAACTTTGCTGCCACCAAGCCCGGCTCCATCGAGAACCCCACCTACAGCAGCAGCGGCTGCTGTATGTACACTGCAGCAAACATTTGCTGCCTCGCTCCCAAGACTTCCTCTCTGGCCATTTCGCATGCAGCAATGCCTTTCGTGCTGCAGTTGGCCAACAGGGGCTGGAAGGCAGCAGTTTTGAACTCCGTGGGGCTGCAGCAGGGGCTCTTTGTTGCTGCTGGCTGCTGCACCAGCGCCTTCCTCGCTGCGGCCACGGGGTGTACGTACACCCCCGTCGAGCAGCTGCTGCAGCACGAGATCCAGCAGCTCCCGCAGCAGCAAACTGCCATTGCCCAGCTCAAGCAGCAGCTCAACACCTTCAGGGGGCAGCAGCAGGGCGCCTCCTTCACCGTCGAGGCCTAGCCTGCTGTACGTACACCCCGCGCCCCACACCCCACGCTGCTGCTGCTGCTGCTGCTGCAGCAGCAGCAGCGGCGGCGGCCTAGGACGCTAGCAGCCCGCTGCAGCAGCAGCAACTGCTGCTCCTGGCGCCGCTGCTGCTGCTGCTGCTGCTGCTGCTGCAACTCAAACACCTTTTTGCTGCTCTCGGAGACCCGAGGCAGCCCCAAACTCCTCCACCATTTCCTGACCCCACCGCTGCTGCTGAGGAGTACGTACACCTCGAGTCCTCTCCCCATTCAGCACTTAGAGGGGCTCAATATTAGGGCTTAGGAAAAACTAGATAGCTAGCTAGCCAGCTAGCCAGCCAGCTAGCTACGTAGCTAGCTGGCGGACTGGCTGGCTAGCTGGCCAGCCAGGTAGCTAGTTAACTACCTGGCTAAACAGCTAGCTAGCTAGCTAGCGACCCAAACAGCAGCAGCCCAACACCTCAGCCAAGCACTGACTCGCCAGAGACAGAGCGGGCCACAACTAGCTAGCTAGCTCCAGCTAGCTCGCTCCAGCTAGCTAGCTACCTAGCTAGCTAGCTACATATTTAGCCAGCCAGCCTGAATAATAGATCTAGACTTCGACCCAGCACTAGACTCTCCAGGGAAGATCAACACGCGCTACAGCTAGCTAGCTGGCTAGCCCTCTAGCTAGCTAGCTAGCCCAGCCCTCTAGCTAGCTAGCTAGCCAGCTAGCCAGGACAACAGTCCCACTACTAGACTTTCCAGGGACAAGCAATGCGGGAAGAAACTGTTTCTGTGGCTCCAGGGGACGCTACAGGCAACCACGGGGGGCCCCTCTCTAGGGGGCCCCCAGGAAGTCCAGATTCTTTAGGGGCCCCTCTAAGGGGGTATCCCTCTGGGGGCCCCTTGGGGGCCCCCCCAAAGAAGACCGCCTACAGGGCCCTCAGAGACCCTCGCTCTGCCTTTTAGGGGCCCCCTAAAGGCCCCTAAAAGGTCCCTGGGGGCCTCCCGGGGGCCCCTCGGGGCCCCTGAAGGATCGCGGGGGGCCCCCGGAGGCCCCGGGGGGCCCCTGGGGGCCCCTGGGGGCCCCTGAGGGCCGCGGTGAGGGGCCCCCGGGTGGTGTTGGGTCATTCTTTGTTGGTTTTGGACGGACTTGTTTGGACAGAGAGAAAGAGAACAAAAGGGTGTTTAGTGCTGCGGGGCAGCAGCAAATGCTACAATAGAAAGGGGCTGAAACGCCCCAACAAGAGGCAGCGCCTGAACGGCCTAAAATGCCTTAGTGACAAATAACGAAATAAGTTCATCTTGAGAAAAGCCGGAAAACAGACAAAGAAATCAATTGCGCACTTTTACGTCGCAAATCTTCTGCATCATTTCAACAAACTCGTCAAAGTCGACCTAAAAACCCAAACGGAGACAAAAACAGCAAAATAAAATCAGAATAAAATCAAAATAATATAAAACAAAACAAAATAGAACAAGAAATCCAAAAAGGTCAAAAAAAACGGAAAAAAACTCAAAGAACGACTCCACATTCGGATGTATAGACAGCTCCCAGCTGCAACGACCTTTGGACTATTTTTCGTTCTTCTTTCTTTACTATTTCTTTATTTAAATCCTTGAAAGTACTTCTATATATATATATATACATGTATATGTTTATTATACTTTATATTTTAATTTCTTTTAAAGAAAGATCTTTGAATTATTTCCACAAAGTTATATAAAGACTACAGTCTATAGACTACTTCTTCATCACGGCACTTTGATTGTTTCTTTATTCCTGTCTTTTAATTGCTTATTTAAATATAATTTCAAATAAATAATTAAATATTCAAATAAACAATTTAATCATTTATCTAAAATTATATTTTAATTTTAATTTTTTTT